ATGACGTCATTATTAAGCTGGTTCCAATAGGTGCCGAACTTACCCGAATGCCTGCCCGAACTTACCCCATGGCCGGGCTCGTTCGGCCATCCGATCTTCCGACAGGAAAAGTTTAAGAATGTTCAAAAACGCATTACGGATGTGGAGCGACACTTCCCAGAAATGGGCCGAACTTGCCCCGGTCACCCCTAATTAATATAAGAGTTATCTGTTTTCACACAAAGACCAACGATCCCGTCGTTCCCATCTTGAAGCAGCGGTGAAACGCGTAGCCGTTTGTTCCACATTATAGCTACCCCGCCAAAACCTCTACAGTATCTAGCATGGATCCTATTATCGTGCCTACCGAAAACCTTGAAATTGTCATTGATTGTGTACAAGAACCCAACTTGTTCCGGCATCGATATCCAAGTTTTCAAGTGTGTCGCATACCGTGCATAGCCACGCGCATGTTCCATGACTGAATATTCATACTGATTGACATCAGTAGAATAAGTTTAACTGTTCTAATCGCAGTCATAACTGTAGTCATTCCACCTTGATGAATTGTCTGTTTCGTATTATTCCCGCCAATAACTTCTGCGTTCGTTAACCTCTTTGTCATCGTAATAACGTGCTTGATTGTCGTTGTATCTTTTTCGGGAATCACGCATACCCGTACGCTCATACCAGTCTCTAACAAGAACACCTTCTGGCCAGAAGTTCTTTTCTATTGCGGCTTCGTAGTCACTTTCATGAGCATTCAGACATGCTGTATAATTAGGATCTTCGGTTACCCGGAGCTTTAAGATTCTGACAAAGAAATGATCGAGTTAAGCACTTCATCACTTGAACCATTTCCCTTAATTCTCGATATCAGAAGTCTTTTTGTTCTTTGTCTACGTTGCACATCTTGTAAAATGTAACTTTGATTTGCAAGTTTTGCAGAAGAATCTTTCTTTGTTTGTCGAGAGAAAGGCTTACCATGTTTTATAGCAGCTGCATAAGAATCATATCCGAGTGGAGTACGAACTTTGTCGGTAAATGCTTCTTTGTTAGATGTCGGAAGACCGCGCTTTTCCGATTTTGACTGAACTGTCTTATTGTCTATCAGTGTTTTTCTTGTCACTATGTGCGCGTTGAGGAATAGCAGGTAAGACTTGTTCAGTTGAGGATGACGAATCGATATCGATTACTATATCGTCGATGTTTTCAGAATGAGAACCCCTGCAGGTGGGGAATCGTGAAAAGAATACACCTGCTGTTATCCACTGCATGTATCGTAGGAGGAGACTAATGAGGAACCCCCTGCAGAATTGGGGATTTGCTTTGGTGTCCTCTATATGTTGTTACTCCCTGCTTAACGTTCAGCATTTAGGAGAAAGGCAACAACTGTTTCACTCGTTGTCAGTATAATGTGGCTGGGCGGAATGCTGTGCTGGGCGCCTTTGGCATGGTATTTTAGTGAGATAGCACTATAAAGTCATCAGCATCAGATCTGCGTTATCATAAGGAGACAAACACACGAACATCGCCTGTCTCCTGTATACACACACGCAAGCACGCATACATTACACACATAGAGGCACGTCCTTCAATGACCTTAGTTGTTATTGGGACGTTAAACAAAATTAAACCAAACTAAACCATTTTCAGAATGAGGCGATGCACGCGGTGTTCTGTCGGGTATATTTTTTTTATCTTTTTATCGGGTATCTCTATTTAAGAATCTTGAGCAAGATATTCGAGACAATCCAACATTTCACTGCACATACCAATGATAAGTTCAAACAGGTCTGCTTCAGGTCTGATATGTCGTTGTGCAGATTCAAATCCTCCATTTTCGGCGCGTAAGTGTGTTCCCGAGTTGAATTGTGATACGTCGCTTTTGCATTGTTGTGTGCTATCATTATGCTGGCCTTGTGTTGTGTTAAGGTCTACTTTCTTATGTCTGTCTCTGCAGCACAGAACTCCCTTAATGTCGTGGCTTTGGACATAATGGAACAGAAGATATACGTCATCCCGGAGTTTTTGTACTAATGTCACGGCCCTACCATGTCTGCGATTCACGAGCGTTCCCCTTGGAGTTGATTGATATTTACTCACGGCTGTATTGTATAATGTCTCCCTTGACAATGCCTCACTTTTGGCCATTTGTTGAGCGTTCGCCCCTGTGAGGAAGGCTTTGGGTTCTGTCCCCTGGCCGAGACATACCAAAGTCTTTAAAAATGGTAGTTTATACTCCTGCTTAACGCTCAGCAAATTAGGAGTGGGACGACTGGTTCGCCCGTTGTCAGTATAATGTGACCGGGTGGGGCGTCCTGCTGGGTGTCTTCGGCAGAATGTTTCAGTGAGGTAGCACTATAAAGTCGGCATCAGTTTCGCGCTATCACAAGGAGACAAACACGAACATATCGCAGCCTCCCAAAATACACACACATACACTACACGCATGCATCTTGCACGCAGGGGAGGCCGTCCTTAAACGACCTTAGCTGTTAATAGGACGTTAAACAAAATCAAACAAACAAACAAACAAAAGTATTGTATAATGACTGGCGTACATTCAAGAGATCATCGATTTCGTCATTATATACCTCCTTTAATTTGTCTTTAAATGTAGATCTGTCAAGCGAGCCGGCGATTTTACTTATATGTTCATGAATGCCTCTGTCTATTTAGGTAGAGGTCATACTTTCATCGTTTGCATTAATCGCCGTGTTTAAGTAGGTCATACTGAATTTCTCAGTCCTATATTCGCGTTGCCGTTGATTCTCCGTACGCCACCCCGACGGAGTATTGTATGATCAGGCTGTATGTAAAGGTTATTGCATGGTTCTCGAGTAACAAGGAATTTATTACACCCGAGCGAAGCGAGGGTGTAATAACTCCCGAGCGACAGAAAATATTGAGTAAAAAATGTTCACCTGGACAATCTTTTTACCTACCCTACACTGGAGATAATTTGTATGTACCTGTGTGAGTGAGTACTTATCAGAACCAGGTAAGTTTGTTTTTATTCTCAATAGCCCAGTCTGAGTGTATCCCTCATAATGTATACAAGTGTTTTATCGGATGATGATGATTTGGGGAATTTTCTATTAGAACCATCACAAAAATATTCTGATACAATGGATATCAGTACAAAAAATCGTTACTTTGGAGAGGATGATAAAGGTAAAAACAAACCAAAAGGCTGCCCCTGTGTCGGAAAAATATATACAAACAGCCTGTTCAGCAACAGTACCAACAATAACAATACTTTTGCAATTATCGTGTTTAAGACCTGGGCTGAGGCAAGAAACGCCAATCCCTCTGTATTGCTGGAGGAAATTTCTATTGTTCCAATGGATATTACTGATATATTAGTTAAGGATCTGAAATTTGGATGTGCCGGACACAATTGTTACTGCAAGGTTTTTGGATTCAGGGACATGTCCGGACATAGGAATGTGGACGCAGAACAGTACACACGGTTCATACCGATTCAGCAGGGAGAAAGACACTGACATATCAGGAGAGAGTATCCAAGGCTGTGCAGGTATGACTTTAAATATTACACATTTTACCTACCGCTCCACTTTCTACATCACACATCTTAGTGTGGTTTAAAATTAAGTAATTCCAAATCAGTCTTCTTTTCTCATTATTGTCGGGTGGTCATTCCCTTCGGCGTGTTGAACCAAAATGTAACGTGCAACATTCAGACCCTACCAACCCCAGAGACATTGCGGAACTATTTGAGCAATACCTAAAACATATACCTCCATCAGGACCCATTTATCGCCGTCCTCTTACATTCTACAAGGGACCACCAAGATTTTCATCTCAACCTATAGGTGTAAATACATGCAGAATATTGTTTGCTGATGTAAACATCGACACAAGTGGTAGGAATATCACCAACCATTCCGGAAGGGTGTACTGCTGTACCTCCTTATACAATGACGGTTTTAGTGGCTAAGAAATAACTGCAAGAAGTGGGCACTGCAGTGATGCTGTTAAGCAGTATAAAAGACCGCCAGAATCACTGTTGACAAATGTTTCTAATGCTCTTCAGCCTCCAAGAAAAGTAGAGAGGACTGAAACAATCTCAGCTCCACAGGACAAAGCTACTCATGATCATTTGTCAGACGTAAAGGAGAATGTTCCACTATCGAATGCTGATGACGTTTTGGAAATTACAGTCCCAAAATGTGTAAAATATGTTGTACTGAAAAAAAAGCAGACCAGGAAAATAAAATTACATTGTAAAAAAATTATGTTTTCTCCAATGTATTTTTCACTTGACAGTTGTTATCTCCACTTTTTTCTACATGTACTTCTGTTACAGGCCAGTGTACGCCATCCCCTTTCATAGTCATGTGATCATGATTGGCCATGAAAGGGGATTAAGTGTGCAGTCTGCAGAAACTGGTGACTGTTTCCAGAGTGGGCATTGAGAAGTAGCAGCAAGTGTTTTATTTCTTTTCTTTTGTAAGAGGTGGGAAGTATGCAGTAAACAGGTGTCACTACATGCGCGATAGAGCGTGACAAGTCGTCAGTACAGGTAAATACACACGAAGCGTGCCCATTTCAAATATCAAAATACAATATCCAATACAACACAATCAGGTGACCTACTTCTCCTTTTTCATAACACCTGTAATCTCCGATAACATCTTCGTTCACACGACCATTTAAGAGTTTTGTCAAATTCATATAAACCACATACATATTAATTATATTTATTAGGGTAAACGGCAGATATTACACACATATAACATAAATCCCAGGTATTACGACTCTCACCTGTGCCGACGCCATCTTTTTTTTTCCAGAACTTTCATCTACATTGTTATTCGACCCAACATGATTCATTTTTTCTCTAAATATCCATATCATTGCTTAAGATATACCAATTGTACAACCCGCGCAACAGCAAATTACCATACTAAATAGCAAATGACACAAATGAACATTGCGTGGGCCTGTAATACCATACATCACACATATCAGTAGGAATGGATAGATTCACTTACCTTTTAATGCAGATATTTGAGAATCTGATCGCAGAGGCACTATTTTCTTCTATAAGAGTTTTAGACGTCTCATCCAATTGAATGATTTGTTAAGAGCTCGATTTCGCTTTATGCACTAGATAATAAAAACCTCTCCGACGTCTTTAGGTAAACGAACACTCCGTTGGATGAGACGCCGAAGTCCCTGTATCTCACGTCGTTGACCTCAGAATGTTCAGTGATCCAGTGAAATATGCATTGCAGTGCTGAATACTTTAGATTGTTTCCATATCACAACCGTATAACCGTGTCAGACCCCGCCTCTCGGTTGGGAACAGACCGCAGAGCAATTATGTTAGGTATGGATATATTCCGTCCTTGCGTATAGCAGAGTTATCTTCTCTTGGGAGCAGGTATTGCTTGTTACGTCATTTGTTTGTGTGAGAAAATTACGTCGTTTTCTTAAAAATTGATGACGTTACTCTCACAAACCAATGACGTAACAATCAATACCTGCTCACAAGTGCAGATAACTCTGTAATATGCAAAGACGGAATTGTTATGGGGGCAAGATCTCAACCTTTTTCATGATGTTATGATACAACTCTTTCCATTTGACCCACACGTTGTTTTTAAGGGAAAAAGGCGTTGACCTTCCTTTCACTTACTCAGCCAGACGTCTTGGCATGTTTCACGCTGTAGAAGAACCAGAACGAGATACAGACATTACACTGGTATGCAGAAATGATGTATGGGTATCAAAATTTGTAAGATATGAAATTACCGAAACATATGCCACGATTGATTAACGGGAAATTTTCGGGTATATTCATTTTATTTCCCTACCTTTCGGCGTCAACGGGTCAGCCTGTTTCAAAAACTCCATCAAAATTGATGTATCAAGTTAACTTCGGGGATACAAAATATTATCATTGAGATAAGGTAACAGTAATTTTTTTTTCTATATTTAAAAACGTAACTTAAGCCAAAAGTCAAGAATGTTTGTTAACGTTGTTGACAACTCAATAATTTTCCAATGCTTTATTTTGACAAATCTATTTTGTTACAAGTTGGTCCTGCTCTACTTTTTAATTTCCTATGCTTAATGTTAAGGAGCTGTCACACCTAGCCGATTTGGGTCACCGGAGCTATACCGGAGCACACATTTGGCGATTTTCGGGGATCGGTTCTAGTATGGCAGCGCAACGGTATCACATCGCTAAGAACGGTAGGACATCGTCAGGACATCGTCAGAACATCGGCGAAAATTTAAGCAACGGCCGGCGACGGTAGACATTTTTGAACATGCTCAAACATTTCCGCCGTTGTGCTGCCGGATCTAGCAACGGGACTACACCAGCAAGACATCGGCAGTACTCCGGAATGGCTTCGTTAATGTCGGTAGAGCACCGGTAGCGTCCCGTAATTGAACGGCGGCTCTCTGGTGGCTTCAATGTGTACCTGTGATACCGTAGTACTACCGAATACCACCGAAGCAGTACTGATGCGCCGCCGATGAACTAACGATGTACTACCGTAACATCGGCAGCGCAACGGGATCACTCCGCTATAGTGCCATACACATAACAGAAATAGGTCTTCAATTTACCTCTTAATGCCATACACATAACAGAAATAGGCGAGCGACTTCAATTAACCTTCTAATGTCATACACATAACAGAAATAGGCGAGCGTCTTCAATGTATCCGCTTATGTCATACACATAACAGAAATAGGTCTTCAATTTACCTCTTAATGCCATACACATAACAGAAATAGGCAAGCGTCTTCAATTAACCTTCTAATGCCTTACACATAACAGAAATAGGCGAGCGTCTTCAATGTATCCGCTTATGTCATACACATAACAGAAATAGGTCTTCAATTTACCTCCTAATGTCATACACATAACAGAAATAGGCGAGCGTCTTCAATTAACCTTCTAATGTCATACACATAACAGAAATAGGCGAGCGTCTTCAATTAACCTTCTAATGCCATACACATAACAGAAATAGGCGAGCGTCTTCAATTAACCTTCTAATGCCATACACATAACAGAAATAGGCGAGCGTCTTCAATTAACCTTCTAATGCCATACACATAACAGAAATAGGCGAGCGTCTTCAATTAACCTTCTAATGCCATACACATAACAGAAATAGGCGAGCGTCTTCAATTAACCTTCTAATGCCATACACATAACAGAAATAGGCGAGCGTCTTCAATTAACCTTCTAATGCCATACACATAACAGAAATAGGCGAGCGTCTTCAATTAACCTTCTAATGCCATACACATAACAGAAATAGGCGAGCGTCTTCAATTAACCTTCTAATGCCATACACATAACAGAAATAGGCGAGCGTCTTCAATTAACCTTCTAATGCCATACACATAACAGAAATAGGCGAGCGTCTTCAATTAACCTTCTAATGCCATACACATAACAGAAATAGGCGAGCGTCTTCAATTAACCTTCTAATGCCATACACATAACAGAAATAGGCGAGCGTCTTCAATTAACCTTCTAATGCCATACACATAACAGAAATAGGCGAGCGTCTTCAATTAACCTTCTAATGCCATACACATAACAGAAATAGGCGAGCGTCTTCAATTAACCTTCTAATGCCATACACATAACAGAAATAGGCGAGCGTCTTCAATTAACCTTCTAATGCCATACACATAACAGAAATAGGCGAGCGTCTTCAATTAACCTTCTAATGCCATACACATAACAGAAATAGGCGAGCGTCTTCAATTAACCTTCTAATGCCATACACATAACAGAAATAGGCGAGCGTCTTCAATTAACCTTCTAATGCCATACACATAACAGAAATAGGCGAGCGTCTTCAATTAACCTTCTAATGCCATACACATAACAGAAATAGGCGAGCGTCTTCAATTAACCTTCTAATGCCATACACATAACAGAAATAGGCGAGCGTCTTCAATTAACCTTCTAATGCCATACACATAACAGAAATAGGCGAGCGTCTTCAATTAACCTTCTAATGCCATACACATAACAGAAATAGGCGAGCGTCTTCAATTAACCTTCTAATGCCATACACATAACAGAAATAGGCGAGCGTCTTCAATTAACCTTCTAATGCCATACACATAACAGAAATAGGCGAGCGTCTTCAATTAACCTTCTAATGCCATACACATAACAGAAATAGGCGAGCGTCTTCAATTAACCTTCTAATGCCATACACATAACAGAAATAGGCGAGCGTCTTCAATTAACCTTCTAATGCCATACACATAACAGAAATAGGCGAGCGTCTTCAATTAACCTTCTAATGCCATACACATAACAGAAATAGGCGAGCGTCTTCAATTAACCTTCTAATGCCATACACATAACAGAAATAGGCGAGCGTCTTCAATTAACCTTCTAATGCCATACACATAACAGAAATAGGCGAGCGTCTTCAATTAACCTTCTAATGCCATACACATAACAGAAATAGGCGAGCGTCTTCAATTAACCTTCTAATGCCATACACATAACAGAAATAGGCGAGCGTCTTCAATTAACCTTCTAATGCCATACACATAACAGAAATAGGCGAGCGTCTTCAATTAACCTTCTAATGTCATACACATAACAGAAATAGGCAAGCGTCTTCAATTAACCTTCTAATGCCATACACATAACAGAAATAGGCGAGCGTCTTCAATGTATCCTCTTATGCCATACACATAACAGAAATAGGCGAGCGGCTTTATGTTTAAAGACAGTTTTAGTTTTCAGTTCAGTAAAATATAATGTCGACAAGTTTTATATCTGTCTTTTTAATTGATAGTATTGCTTTCTTTTTTTAGTAAAATATTGAAATGTTTATGATCATTATTAATGATTGAATTACCTATAGATTATGTCGACTCAACTATATTTTCTTAATGGACTTAACTACATATCGATTATAAAAAAAAAAGATAAATAGTTGTCATTGTGGATTAAAGTTATTGAAATAACTAAGTATTTATACCTCAGAAACTCAATATTCTGTATTCCCAACTTGGTAATGATGCTCCGTTCACACTTCCATAAACTCTGTATAGAATGACTTTTATGTACTTTATCTTTCATTTTATCATTTGTAAGAGCCATTCAAACTATTGATGTAAAAACGTTTCATTCCTAGGGAAATGCGATAAAACACTGGATAACGCCACTGTATTTTAGTACATAGAGTAACCTCCCCTTAATTTCTTTTAGGAAATAATTGTAGTGCGATAGGTCAGTGTACTGTTTTGACCAGATGCCTCAGTTGGTTACATTGACAGTATAATAATTTGACGTCTAGGGTTCGAATCCTGTTATAGGGACGTTTTTATTAATGTATTTGCTTGTTGATCAGATTTTTTTAGGGTTAAGGTTAAATTTTAAGTCTAAAATTAGTAGCGAGGGTTAGGGTAAATTTGAACTCCAAGTTAGGATGAGGGTTAGGGTTAGGGTTACTTAGAAGTCCATTTTTTTATATTTATTTGTTTGTTGATCATATTCTGCTTATTTCCCTTTGCGTTTTATTCATAAAAGGCCCTCAAACTATTTTGTTATTTCAGAAATGATACATCAAAGCTACTAGCAGCCATGTCGGAAAACCATTTGCAAATAAGTAGTTGTTTTTGGCAGTGGCGCGGGGATCCTTAAATAACTGTTGATTCGGTATATGCCCGATCTTTCCTGGAGAATAGTGTTATGTCATCAGACCCATTGATAAAGTTAATGTTTCTGTTTATGATCGAACCGAGATACCAACAACATTTAAAATAACGAGGTTTTTTTAATTCCATAATAGTACATATATTTAAATTATGTCAATTTAAATCGCTTAAAATATGTATTTTTTCTTAATTCCTGGGTGCGACTTGTAGACGATTTGTAAGAAATCAAAAAGATAAAAAGTTTAATTTTGCAGTAACTTTTCTTCAGATATAAAGGTGAACTGTGATTGCATTTATATCAGTAGAACGTAACGTGAACTTAAAATTCACTGACCATGCTTGTAACAGGTAACGCAAAGCTGGATACGCTTTTCTGCGTGTTAACAAATTATTGAGGGATATATATAAGTTCTTTTGTTCATTTTTTTATTGTACGTGTAAATCTACATTTGTCAGACACTGTTATGCCGTATGACCGTTCGTGTCGTCCGCCTGTTTTGGCTTGTACAGACAAAACGGAATGTACTTCATGACCTTATCGCCATCCACTTTGTGGGTATTAGAGGGTCATACACCTCCAATCCTTCGCTGTACTTGAGCAAGTTGTCTCTCTCGCTAGGATCCTGCCACGCCGTGATACCCCGCTCATCCAATGTACCTGGAACAGTTAATGTAGTTAAAGAAGGCTGCCTTGCTAATTTGAATGATATGCCGCCATATTGTATGTTGACAAAATAATGAGGCATGACGGTTCACGCTAATTCATGAGCGTCATTAAAGCCATCTATCAGCAAAGGTTTCAAAAACATAACTCATCCTTTCACTTGAAGATGTGCATCCTCGATATCCAGGGGTTACGCTCACTTTTGCTCTCTACACTCCTTGAATATGTCAAAGCAAAATTGAAGGCTCGGTGTGCGCCACCTTGTTGATGAGACAAGAATACTAGTTGGATTCTAGGACGTACATCAAAAGAATCTCGCGGTCACGTAACGGTAAAAATTGACAGGCTTTGAAGTCGTGCATCTCTCAAAGGACAGGTATCAGCCTAGCGATTGGTCAGTTTCTTTTTACCTGAGACCAATCAAACAACTATCTTCGTGCCTTTAATTTTGCTATGACATATTCCAGGGGTGAAGAGAGCGAAAGTGGCTTCCCAGGGAGTTGAGAAAGATATTGGCTGGTTGCAAAGGCCCTATCACCACGGATAATAATTTGTGAACCGCTTTGAGAACACATACGATCTAGGTTGTGATAAAGCGGTATATAAGAACCTCGAATTATTATTATTATTATTTTTATAAAGGATCTCACGGACACATCGATATTTTCAAAAAATTGATGGTCACTTTATTGTTCCATGTGGGGAAAAATTGAGGAAAATGGTGAAAATACATGATTTTTAAAGAAAATGCTCAGGGTAGGGGGTTTATTGAAGCCCAAAATAAACCTCTGGATCCGTCAATGTTTATACATGTTTCGGGACATTTGGACATGAATTTTATTTTTGACCTTTATTACCACTGATGTGACATGTATGGACCAAATAGGAATATGATACTGGAAAGGGTTTACTTTATTTGGCTGCCTGCATCGATATTTTCATTTAGGGCAACAACTTCAACCTTGTTGTTCCAAGAACTGGATGTTAATAACATAATAGGCATAACTTCTCCATCAAAATGCAAAGATATGGCATCAATTTACTAAAACATTTGTTGCTTAAATATTTCCTCCTCAAACAGTATTGGTGTCGTTCAAAAAGCTCCAGCAGTAATTATAATCGCTTCATTGACTTATCTGTTGGCACTGAGGAGCTTGCTTGGGAAGACTGACAGGTCTTGACAGGAAGTTTCTAAGAAGTTTTATTTCTGGACTCGTTTGCTAATTCGATTTTTAAGGAGTTTAATGTTACAGGATACATATTTGAACTTACTGCGGTGTCATTCAATAGCGGGTTGTCCGCGTGGGTTACACACCAGGATCAAACAAAAGAGCCGTGGTGTACCACAAAGTCCATCCTCGATATTCAGGGATTACGCTCACTTTCGCTTTCTGCACCCCTGGAATATGTCATAGCAAAATTGATTGCACAGTGTGCGCCCCTTGCTCCTTTGATATACATCGAAAGAATCTCGCGGTCACGTAACGGTAAAAATTGACAGGCTTTGAAGTCGGACGTCTCTCCTTTGTTATCTTCAAACGACAGGTATCAGCCTAGCGATTTCACCCGAGACCAATCAAACAGCTATCTTCGTGCCTTCAATTTTTGCTATGACATATTCTAGGGGTGTAGAGAGCAAACGTGAACGTAACCCCTGGATATCGAGGATGCACAAAGTCAAGGTCAAAATGCTGTCTAACCATAAGCAATTCTTTTTCGGAGTGTAGAGCATACAGGAGAGGTGAATTATCGACTTTATATTTATTTTTTTTGTTTAAAATTAGATGTTTTTCACGTCTGCATAAAACATTTTTTGATAAATTTTAGGATGTGACGGACGAAGAACGGAGATGCAAATTTAAATATCACATTCTTGAACAAATGAAGGTGGATAAAAAGACAAAACAAATGCAATTGTTCAGTTTAAATAATTTATTTTTCCATGTAAGCATATACTATCAATTAATATCGCAACATGATAATGGCAATAATACATTTTATAAAATCATTAAGTTTTCGTTGAATTCATAGAAATTCCTGGCCCACGAATTCAGGTGTTTCTTAGGAAACAACAGGTAAGACGAAGATACGGCAGGATTCTTAAAATTCATACTCAGTCAAACATTTACAAAATATAACACAAGAAAATAATTTACTTTGCATTCTGATGGCGTCAAACAACAACTTTCATATTTCTATGCAATATGACAATTATAAATATTACAGGGTGTGCTTGCTATCTTTAATTCACATATGAAAGACGCAACAGAGTTATCAACAACACGTAAGTTTTACATAGCTTGTAGTTAGCTTCAACTACGTCTACATATATACAAGGTACACAGAAAGCTAGACTCTGGCATCTGTAGGTCTGGAGTACTGCATATATACTGTTCTGTGGCAGTTTTATTTTCGCCATTTGGTGATACTTCGATTCAGAATTTGATGACAATAGCTTTATCATATATATATCCATCAACTTTACATAAAAAATATATTTTGACCACCGTTCTTCTTTAACCCTTTCAACACTGTAGACCATAATGGACTCGTCCAGATCAATGCATGGTAGAGTCTACTAAAGTTACATAGGGGTGAAAGGGTTATTGATCAATGGCTGACTGTAACATAATATGTTGTTTAAATGTTGACTGGAGATGCCAAAATGATTTAAAATAGCCTGTGCCAAATTTATTGCACCACTTTCGGACAATAGAATATCTGAAGGTTAAATAAAACCTATCACCTTCAAACTAATTACAAAAAATATGTACCACATATATTAGAAAGTTTTCCATGATTAACATCTTAATTGTGTACAGGTAAATATCACCATTAACAAGTCTGATACCCAAAGTCTTTTAGTTCCTGGGTGCTTTTTTGTTTCCAAAGTCTAAAATGCTGCAGATATTTCCAAATTATTCATTTCTTAAAGCTCTTATTAGCAAAGACATCAGTAGTAACTTTAACATTTAACAAATATATAAGGGTTCCAATTTTCTGAAGGGATTTCCATATAAGGAAAATACATGGATTTCAAAATCAATCCCACGCTTGAGGACCGTGGGGCGTTATGTGCTCCCTGTTTTTAATAATCTAAATTTTGGAACGTCATGCAGCATAATTTAATCAAATATTTCAAACATAAGTTAATAGATATAAATCTTACTGGTGACTGACATCAGTGTCCCTTTTAAATCACATTATATTGGTGTATATCCTGTCAATTTTCACGTTTTGCTATATCAGCATATGTGTATATTTCACTGTAATGGTGCTTTAACCCTTAATTAGAAATACTTGTGTTACATACAAGTTTACAGTACTTAAACCTAGTTTTTATAAATTGAAATTATTATGCTACCTTTCTGTGATTATGTATGTGCTGCTTTGTTTAACTTGTTAAATTGCCTCTGTGACATTTGCCTGTCATGTAACTAGTGTTTCTAATAACCTGCATGTGATTGTTATTATACTTCATGTTTGTCGTAAGAATAGCACTACAGTGCTAATGTTTTATTGTTTTTAATATGCGACGTTCTTTAAAAATTCTTGTATCTTGGTGGTTCCTCAGTGGGGACAACCCCACCATATACCCTACTATAAAGAAACTTAAAAGGATCCCAAAACAAAACCACAAATGACAACCAGTAATAGCTCTACACCTAAAACTGTAGAACAATGTGCATTGAGGATTTCTAGAACTCAAATACATGTAACCCAGCTTCTCTTGTATAACAAGAACCATAATAATTGACATTTTGTTACAAAATATGAGTCAGTGATTCCTTTCAACCTAAGCTTACCAGGTACACAAGAGTGATGAGAACTCATTGCTTGACTGTATTCATGTATGTAACTGTTCTCATACTCAAACTCAGGTTCTGTGCTCAAGGCCATTTTGTTTTTGTTAACATGACAAAACAAAATACTTTTATCAATAATCTAGAAGCATTTTGGAGAGACTTAGTGCCAAAAGCCATTTTCAGTGTGTAAACTTGACCTTTTTTTACCGTGACACATGATTGAAAGTTCGTTTCAAAACAAATCCATGCTTGAGAATGAAAACAAATCATAAATATGGACCGATGTATAGTATTAGGGCCCCCAATGGGATTTTATACAAAATATATTCTATTTCAGCTGAGTATGAATGCTGAAATAAAACCTTATAGGTAAGTTGAAATATCACGAAACAGAAAAAGATGCAGATATTCTCACCATATTTCAAATCATTGTAAATGCAATTATATAGTGCCAAAGTATTAAATATATACAAGTATACAAATGTATAACGGGCAAAATGTCCATTGTTAAGAATTGCAATCAGGAAGTTTTGTGACATCAAGTAAATTGGACATATTTTGAAGTTCCAAATAAAAGTGAGTATACTACACTGAAGAAAATGTTGCATTTCCACATCCACAAACTTAAAATGTCAAATGGCTTTACTAAACCGTGACATGTGCCAGGGTTATGTAAATGGTGGGGGTTGTTGGGACTCAGTGACTCGGTAGCTTCTCATTCTGTATCTGATAGTAACAAGCCTGAAAAATATATAAGAGATATCTAACTATATTGATTTAACAGGTTGTTTACATTGGATACAGATCCTTTAAACCAGACACTTCAAATTGGGGTATAAAATAACTTAAAACGTTAATACACATAGTGACTGTATGACAAGTATGGGATGCAGAATAACTGCTGTATTGCCCAAGCGAAGCACAGATTCAATCAATGCTCTGATGATACACAGTTCAACAGTATATATGGTAATTTCACTGATTGGTGTATTAAGTCAGCCTTACCAGGATACTTAATTTCAGATATTTTACAACAAGGCAAAGTATTGCGAGGCAATCCATAGTCCCCCACCGGTAATGATTTCTATATTTAACAAACAGTACACTTAGGTCATGATGTCACATCGGTCACCATGAGGTAATAGCGACTTAATTCTTACACTCCGTCACGCCAAGATGTCCGTGTACACGAAATCCGGTTACTCTAGGTGAAATAGTAAAGAAGATATGCCCCAGTTATGATATTTCAGTATAATGGCCACTGAGGGGTTTCATCATTTTTGGATACCTTAGCTACTGTAAAGACATCCCCATTCCTTATACGATATATAAACATAATACCTTAACCCTCTCACCCCTATGTAACTTTAGTAGGCTCTACCATGCATTGATCTGGATGAGTCCATTATGGTCTACAGTGGTGAAAGGGTTAACATCTGGAGACAACATAACACAAGATCTTTCATTTACACCAACCTTCCCTTTCTCCAGCACACATACATGCATGCATGCTTACACAACACACATAGAGGCACGTCCTTAGATGACCTTAGCTGTTAATAGGACATTAAACAAAATAAAACCAAACCAAACCAAACACATGATCTTTCGTTTACAACTCCCTACCTACTACACAGACATTCTAACTCACAGGTAAAATCATACACATGTTGCATAATTCTCCTTTTTCAAAATAAAGTTTCAAAATAAAGTTTCCCAAGATCTTGCAACTAACATCCTCACTCCCCTTTTCTACTTACATGTAGAGTAGTGAACATGATCCCTAGTTCTCCATTTTCAAGATGAGATTCCATCAGATCTTCTATCAAGTGAACCTCGGCCCCCAGGTGTCGGATCTTAGAACGAACCACCACATACTGGAAGACAGGAAACAGTTCATCCATGCACCACATGTGGTCCTCATTCAGAGCCAGCTGAACCGTCTGAAATTTAAGAATACACATTCAACTATATTTACAAAGCTTTTTTTGCTAGAGCCAGCCAGTTGAACAGTCTGAATGAACTTGCAAGACCATGCATACACCTACAGTTACTATAGATTTGTTCTTAGAGCCAGCTGAACAGTCTGAAATGTAAGAATACACATTCAACTATATTATCAAAGCTTTTTTTGCTAGAGCCAGCCAGTTGAACAGTCTGAATGAACTTGCAAGACCATGCATACACCTACAGTTACTATAGATTTGTTCTTAGAGCCAGCTGAACAGTCTGAAATGTACACTTGTTAGACCCTGCATACAACCATATATATTACTAGGGCTTTTTGTTAGAGCCAGCTGAACAGTCTAAAAAGAAAAAAGCCACAATTTAATTGAGATACACTACATATTAAATCACAGGGTAAAAATAGGTTATATATTAAAGGTATTTCATCAGTTCCCTCACTGAAATGAAGAGTTAATCTGTCGGTGACTTTCTGTCCCATACATCATAAAGTATAGATGATTCTCTAATTCCGTGTGTGTAAGATAGAGCTGTCAGGGAAAGAAAGGGGTGTAGGGATTTCTATCTTTTACACCATTTCACGTCACGTCACGAGTTTGGAAAAACTCTTGATGCCGTAATGCGGGACAGGCGTCGTGATGAAATTAAAACCTTTACGAAATATTTACCTTACACGTTAGAAAGATGAAAAACCTTTACGAAATATTTACCTTACACGTTAGAAAGATGAGATTAATTTGTCTGTGCAAACTCATGTTTGCATATATGGGACATGCTTAATCTCGCTGACAGATTCGGTTTTGTCTAAAAAGCTAAGGGGAAAAGTTGATATTTTCAAAATGGTAGCCAGTCCAATTGCATTTTTATGGTTTCTGAGGTTATTCTGGTAGTAGGAATGAGAGAAAAATACTCTTTCATGCCCAAAGGTTTAGGATAGGGAAACTCCACCCGAGGGGTTTTCAAATTTGGTAAAACCCGAGGCTATACTGAGGGTTTTGCCAAATTTGAAAATCCCGAGGACATGAAAGAGTCTTATAACAAAACATTTATTTTCTGAAAACCCACCTTAGTAATTTCCAGGAATGTTTTTTGTATCACCTCTAGTTTCTCTTTGGGGCTGAAGGCCGTGCTGAAAAACAGGATAGCAACAATTATACACCGTATGGTTCACATCAATACTCTGAAACAAAAGTGAGCACCGTCAGAATCGGAATCTTCGGAGTTTCCTCTGCTTACATGCCTTGGCAGAGACCATTAATGTTGATATGATTTACTCATTACTACATGTAAACTTGAAATCTTATTCTCTTCTCCTCTTCATCCTTGTCTCCTAATATATCTATTATCTATAAAATAAGTTTCTCCCTATGTGATTATATATAAATATTAAAATAAGTTTCGCCCTATGTGATTATATATAAATACAACTGATTCTGGGACCATGAAACAAACTTCTTTTAGTCATTTTTCAATTTTGACTAAAATCTAAATATTAGGATATTCTAAATTATATAAATTAACATATTCACTATGTTTGCATGTGTAAAATAACATTGAAATGGCACTGTATCATTTAAATTTGAACTAGAATGGTTTGTGATCTGATATGTACAATGTAGGTTGTATATATCAAAAAATTACTGTAATAAGGAGACCTTATCATAAGGGGCACACTAATGCCAAGATTAAGTTGAGTTATAAGTAGGATTATACCTGATCTGCTGTAAGGTATCGACAGAGGACAGGTAGCAGTGATCACGAAGGCTGGACAATCTCTGCAGCAGGTAAATAAATAAAAGTATTAAACATTATCAGACATTGTAATCATTATGTTAGTCCCCTCTATATTATCACAATCCTTGACCGACTAGACTAAACTTCAACTTTGTAGCTACCATTTCAGAAAAATAAGTATTCAATTTTCAGACAGTGGCATAGAAATCATAATAATAAAAACGATTATCCGTCAGAAACTAGTTATAAATACATTGAATCTTAATTGAGACAATGGAACCTGTTACTCACCTTTCTTTTATCCTGAAACATGATCTCCTCTATCAACCAGAATCGCCTGTTATGATAAAACATAAGAATAAAATATTAGCTTCAAAATTTGACACTTTCGTATACATTCAAAGATGTGGCCCTATGATTTTTGGCCTACTGAAAAGATATGAAGCATCAAAGGAATTTTTCTAGCCATGTTCCTATAATGATTCATACAGTTCTGATAAACATAGTTTTGAACTGTCATTTATTACCACCGAAAATAAATTGCAAAGATGATTAGTACCACAATAACAGAAACACCTTTAGATAAAATTATGCAGATTCATTTAGTGAATCTACTTTATATTCTATACCATCTTTCATACTATTTATTTGGCTTAATTAAGTTATTCACTGATCAAAACAGAATGGTTGTAGATAGGTATATTGGCTGTACATGTCAAGGCAGGGTAAAAGCTGTGAACCCTTGGATTGAAAGTAGACCAATCATATTGCTGCAGCTTAGAGCCGACAGCCTATCAAGAGGCATTGGTATCAAAGCACATCAAAATCCAATGAGGTTGGTTCTTAGGACCATACTGGTAAATTATTAGTATTTTACAACAACAAATGCGTGCCAATGATGCTTAAAATATTGAATATATGCCATACTCTAGATATATATGTGCCACAGAGAAATAATTTTAAAACGCGACCTCCGACCTATGTGTCAAATCTGACTTTTCAAATCTATTCTTGTTTCTGTTTAACTTACTGGTCTATGCCAAGGTAGGCCATCAGAGCCATATATGTCGCCCTGTTTGTTTGTTTAACTTACTGGTCTATGACAAGATAGGCCATCAGAGCCATGTCGCCCTGTTTGTTTGTTTAACTCACTGGTCTATGCCAAGATAGGCCATCAGAGCCATGTTGCCCTGTTTGTTTGTTTAACTTACTGGTCTATGACAAGATAGGCCATCAGAGCCATGTCGCCCTGTTCGGTTGTTTAACTTACTGGTCTATGCCAAGGTCAGCCATCAGAGCCATGTCGCCCTGTTTGTTTGTTTGTTTAACTTACTGGTCTATGCCGAGGTAAGGCATCAGAGCCATGTCGCCCTGTTTGTTTGTTTAACTTACTGGTCTATGACAAGATAGGCCATCAGAGCCATGTCGCCCTGTTTGTTTGTTTAACTCACTGGTCTATGCCAAGATAGGCCATCAGAGCCATGTTGCCCTGTTTGTTTGTTTAACTTACTGGTCTATACCAAGGCAGGCCATCAGAGCCATGTCACCCTGTTTGTTTTTGTTTAACTTATTGGTCTATACCAAGGTAAGCCATCAGAGCCATATATGTCTCCCTGTTTGTTTGTTTAACTTACTGGTCTCTGCCAAGATAGGCCATCAGAGCCATGTCGCCCTGTTCGGTTGTTTAACTTACTGGTCTATGCCAAGGTGGGCCATCAGAGCCATGTCGCCCTGTTTGTTTGTTTGTTTAACTTACTGGTCTATGACAAGATAGGCCATCAGAGCCATGTCGCCCTGTTTGTTTGTTTAACTCACTGGTCTATGCCAAGATAGGCCATCAGAGCCATGTCGCCCTGTTCGTTTGCTTAACTTACTGGTCTATGCCAAGGTAGGCCATCATAGGCATGTCGCCCTGTTTGTTTGTTTAACTTACCTGTCTATGCCAAGGAAAGCCATCAGAGCCATATATGTCGCCCTGTTTGTTTGTTTAACTTCCTGGTCTATGCCAAGGTAAGCCATCAGAGCCATATATGTCTCCCTGTTTGTTTGTTTAACTTACTGGTCTCTGCCAAGATAGGCCATCAGAGCCATGTCGCCCTGTTTGTTTGTTTAACTTCCTGGTCTATGCCAAGGTAAGCCATCAGAGCCATGTCGCCCTGTTTGTTTGTTTGTTTAACTTACTGGTCTATGCCAAGGGAGGCCATCAGAGCCATGTCGCCCTGTTCGTTTGCTTAACTTACTGGTCTATGCCAAGGTAGGCCATCAGTGCCATGTCGCCCTGTTTGTTTGTTTAACTTCCTGGTCTATGCCAAGGTAATTAAGCCATCAGAGCCATGTCGCCCTGTTTGTCTGTTTAACTTACTGGTCTATGCCAAGGTAGGCCATCATAGGCATGTCGCCCTGTTTGTTTGTTTAACTTACCTGTCTATGCCAAGGAAAGCCATCAGAGCCATATATGTCGCCCTGTTTGTTTGTTTAACTTACTGGTCTATGCCAAGGTAAGCCATCAGAGCCATGTCACCCTGTTTGTTGAGTTTCTGTACCCTCTCCCAGTACCGTTCGTCCTCCTTGTCGTTGTAGAGAGCATACAGGTCAAACAAAGGGGGATAAATCTTGGGGAGCAGCAGTGGTTGTAACAGACTCCCAGCAGTCACAATCTCTCTGTTAATAGATAGTGTATTTAGAATTGTTTTAGAAAAAAAATTTACAATAATTTTAATGTTTAATTTCACCTTATGTATATATATGCTTTTGCTTTTCACAATAAATACAATTTTGAATGACCTTGAACTGTCTCCAAAGGTCTCCAAAGGTACCAGTAAAAACATGTACCTTTTTAGAAAAATTCCATAGACTATTACTTGTAAAAACATTTCAGGCTCCTGATGCCCTTCTCTAGTCTTCAACTCTTACTAAGAAATTTGTGTGTACATAGTCATTCAAAATGGACATGACATAATAATCTACAACATGTTTTCTCTGTGAAAGGGCAAGAGCCTGAAAATTTTCTCTGAGTAATATTCTATTGACAATGATTAGGTTTTTTTTACATACATTTTCTCATCGCTGTCCAGTAGTGCACTGTCAATAGACTCTGTGTCGCTGTGTGGATAATCCTTCCTTCTAGCTAATACATCCTCCGACACAATCTGTAACGGTCCCCCATTTATTGGCAGGTCAGGAAACAAGATTCTGTACCAAAAAAATGTTTTCTCAACTGATTTAAGTAATTTGATGGATAAAAGCAAGTTAAACGAAAAAAATCTACATTAAAGTAAAAGATTTAAAAAATTATTGTATTTGAATATTAGGTAAATTAGTTAATGTTGTCTTTATTTTTGCTTTGGCGTATCATCAATAATCTTGGACTTTGTCCTCTTAATTGGAAGAACGGTACATTTGGGGGGTATTTTATTATTTTATTCATTTATACTAATTTACCATTTTATATCATACATGTTCATAAGATCTCAACTTTCTGTACTTAAATTAGTTATCTGTATCCCAAAAATAGCGAAACCTAAATACCTGACTATCTTGAAAAGACGCTTGATGAATGACATCACTTCCTGTACAGCATGAGCCAGGAGTCTGGGATGTGCTCCAACCCCGATATAGGCAGCCCGGAAGACGTCCACAAGTCCCTCCATCACTTGTCCCAGGGGGTGAAAGTTTGTATCAAAGGCCTAACCAATACAACAATAAATACAATACTATAATGCAAACTTTTATCCAAGATATCTGGCATAAAGAAGGTGGCATTTTATAATGAAAGTTTATGATTAAGGCCTGTTTATGTTATGGGGTACAGTTTTGTAATTTGGGAAAATACAGTATAACATTGTTTAGACCAAAAGTTTTACTATCATGGAAGTTTGTGACGAAGGCCTGCATAATATCAGGGGAGGCCCTTTTACTCCAAAATCTGTGTGGAACACCAGCACCGTCAAATATACAGGAAGGCAGTTATTAATGAAGGGATGCACAGTAAAATTATAAAATAAATAGTTTGAGGGCCTGCACAGTAAAATAAGGAAGTAGGTCTTTTTATCATGGAAGCTTGTATCCAAGACCAGTGCTGTACAGTTAGGGAAAACAGCTTTAAAAGGAAGGTTAAGTCTATAGAAGCCGGTACATTATTATAGCTAGGAAGTAGTCTAACGGTCATCTAATCTTGTGTCTATAGCTAATTACGCGGTAGAAAACTAACAGTTATCACCCAAAATTTGACTAAAATTAAGATAACTGTTGTCCTCACTAGGAGATAAGAAATAGTTACCTTCTGGAGGTAGACCTTGATCTGTGTGTACACCTCTATAGTCAACTTCCCAGCATTAAAAGGAGGGATTTTCTCCAGATCCTCTAGCTGTTCCATCTTGGTGCCTCGTCGCAGCGTTCCTCTACATCACGAAATGGTCAGTTTAATTTTATTGCAACATGTAAAAAAAATACTATGCCGCCTAGCAGCGTTCCTCTACATCAAAAATTGTCAATTCATTACTGCATTTATTAATAATGTTTCAACCGTCCTTGTGCTTATTGTGAATTTTTGTACATTATAAAAGCACAGTTTCCTGATACAAGGAAAATCAAACTCTTCATCCAACTTTAACTTCAAAGAACATATTTCTTTCCCTTTGAATACTAAATAAACACAATGTCATGTTATTGTTTAAAAGAATACATTTAAAACTAAATTCATAACTTCTTCCACCATTTGACCACTACTTTGTACCTTTGTTTTGCCTCCCAGAGAGATTCCCGACCCCTCGTTACCATCACAGCCACGGCCTCCCACGCCTTGGCAGTGTCGGGCTTTCCTCGACCTTTGAACCCCAAGATTGAGGAACAGTGATGGAACATATCAGACCAGCGTTTGTCTGGGGGGACACACAGCTTCTTGAAATGGCTGTGAATATAAAGTGAATATTAACATATCAACGAGTACTTTTTTTCATCATGCAATTGTTTACATAAAAAATAATTCCATCATTTGGGGTTGAGATTATTAAGTGGGACATTTTTTCTGTATACATCAGGCTAATTATTTGAGGATAATGAGAGATAATTGGACAAATTAACCCCAGTTGTTTAAAGCTTGGTTAGTTTTTAAACCAAAATTTTTCAAATGTAAATTTTTGAGAACAATCTAAATGTTTACAAATATTTATGTGTTTTTGCATCAATAACTCATCATTACGACTTCTTCACACATGCAACTTTTGTTTTGTATTTCAATAATTTTGAAAATATATTGGTTTAAAAATGTATGTCGTCATTTAGCTAAACAAACCTGGTTAGGTATTTCAGGTAAACAGCCACAATGAGAGACAATCTGGGTAAATAAGTAATTGTATTGAATTTCAAATTAACCTGCTGTAGTGTTCTGTGTAGTACTTTACAAATAACTTGTAACTACCTGGAGCTGAGACCCACAGTGTGATTCGACCGGCGCTCGTCTGGCGTCGATGTCTTATGAAATGTGCCATTCAACTTGAGTCCCTCATTCCAGCTGCCATTAAATGTGCCTTCAATCTTGTCTCCAGTTGGCAACGTCAACACCCCCTAACATAGCAATATCGTAAGAATGTTTTAAAGTCTTGATAAGAATGAAAAGATTATTTCAACTCCAATATTTCCTTGTTAAGAATGGTGAAATATCAACTTGGTTGAAACTCAAATAAACAAAAATTAAGTTTTCTTAGAATTATACTACAAACACTAGTGTCTTTTGCACTAAAAAAAGTAAAAAATATTTTTTATAAAAAACACCAAAGAATTGAATTACTAGAGTGAATAAATAAAGTTTCTTCAGGCCAAAAAGTCTCCTTCAGTGACATGAAGGAAATATTTTATAAGTAACTTTAGGCTCATCATTGCCTACCTATTCCTGTAGTTATGAGACACTAGAAAACCATGTTGCCTACCTTTCCCTGAAGCTGTGTGATACCATTAAAATCTCCCTCGTAACAACTGTTGTCATCCGTCAGCATCAAGCCAAATCCCTGTAAATCAAAGTCAATAAATTAAACATGATTGTAATTATATTTAACAGTTGGTGTTACAGATTTGTTATTCTAGACTTGAGTAACTGAGATATAATTGGTTAGACTTTTGAGGTTCTGTAGTACTATGATCCACTGTACAGTTTCTTCCATGGTACCTCAACTCATCAAACACAATCTTGGATCACATGAACCTTGATTCAAACTTAAGAAGATTTTGCTCATACTAGATGTTAAATACATTCGGTAGTAAGTTATAAATGAAATCTTTAATACTGCAACTTAGTCTTACCGTCATCTTTCCAGAGGTGAAGTTTCCCTCAAAGTACATGCCATCCAGGGTAACAACGATTCCGTTACCATGACGATTGCCATCATTCCACATTCCCATGTACTTCTCACCTGTGTAAAATGATCACATGACCTCAAATACAATTCTCCTTATATGACCATGTTACATTTGTATCAAAACTTTACTCCTTTCAGTGATAACTTTTACTTCAGCATTGAAATAACATTGACTACTTTCAATTGATACTTTGGAAGAGGGCCTAGCAAGACTATTCAGTGTCAATAAAATATGTTTGAAAGAATTGATACTTTCTACTTAGATATAATCATGGGCTCATAACTGTCGTGACCTTGATCTTTCACCTTTGAGTACATCATCGATGACCCCGTATCCCTGTTTCTGGTCTTGGTTCCACTCCCCAATATATATACTGGCTGAGTTACTGTTGTGGCCTCCATGACGATATGTCCCATGTCCCTGTCTCATGCCTTCCCTAAAATAGCCCTCGTACACATCGCCATTGGCATATCTAGAAGATGATAAATACAAACAAGGTACAAAAAAACAGTTTAAAACCTTTGTTCAATATTTTCATTCACGTCTGTGTCAAAACTATTTATATATCGATCTAGGCGTAGAGCCAACGCCCTTTTTACTTTAGTTCAGGTTCGTTTGGTTCCGTATATCCCTTGCCTGGATACCAACAGGGTGATTGAAGAATAGGGGAAACTAAGAATAGGTGTCAATCGCAACAAGCTCGGGATGAGTTGAATTTTCTTTATTAGGATAGTCTACCGGTTTCGCCAGAACAGTGGGCTTCTTCAGGACGATTAAATGACAGAGTTTGTCCCCTGTAGAACTAAAATTCAACTGATCCCGAGCTTGTTGCGATTGACACCTATTCTTAACTATTTATATAGTTTTCAAAGTGAATAGCAACAGCCACAAAACACCAATGAGAAAATATTTATTGATTCCCTGATAATTTACAAAATATTTTATCGTGAAAATTTGCTTTGATAACTTGATAGGCTTATCAAGAGTGAACAATAAATGAGACAATTAAACAAGATATTCCATACTTGACTTTCCCGATACCATGCAGTCGTCCGTCTCTCCAGTACCCTTCTTGACAACGCTCCTTGCCATCGTCCTGGAGTATCAACAAACGCCCATGTCTGAAAAGCAATGATATTTTTTTGTTAATTTTTTACCGACACAACAATCAGTCATGTTTTAAAATCTGTGTTTATTTGTACAGCTAATCAGCCTCACAACAGCCAGACTCCAGCAAATATTACAGCCATACAACAGCCAGACTCCAGCAAAAATTACAGTCATGCAACAGCCAGACTCCTGCAAAATATTACAGCCATACAACAGCCAGACTCCAGCAAAATATTACAGCCATACAACAGCCAGACTCCAGCAAAAGATTACAGTCATACAACAACCAGACTCCAGCAAAAATTACAGCCATGAAGTACCTCATATTGATTTATTTAAAATGGACAACTTACCCATGCTGCTTTCCATCCCTGAAGCTGCCTGTGTAATTCCTTCCGTCACTCCACTTTATCTCACCACTGAAAGACAAAATATTGAGTCAGTTACAGAAAGAAAAAAACATATATTAAATGCATACATTCAAACTGACTGACAAACTGTACACCGGGAATATTTTGCCCGGTCAAATATATTCCCTTTTCCAATAAAATTCATGTTTGCCTGGTGTTGTGTACATATCTTCGCTGTAAGGGTAAATCTGCCCCAAGTATGGATCACAAAAGTTATATTGTCCAGAAAATGTATACAGCAGCTGTGACAAACTTATATCTGTAAAAAAGTTTGGCCCAATTTCGTGATGTTTGTAATTCATTCTTCTTCTTCTTCCAATAATCTGCATAACTTATACATCTCCAGCACACACACAGACATGCACACATAGGGAGATATTAGCCAGGTGGCATAGGACTAGTAGTTAGCGCCTGATAAGGCAGCTCCTGCGAATTCCTCAATATTGTATTGATTAATATTTATGCTAATTGTATTGACTGTATAAAATTGTATATCTATGTACTGTAAAGCGCTTTAGAGTGGCTAATGTTAGCTAGATAGGGTGCTATATCAAATGTTGTAAATTTATTTATTTATACCACCTCTGGTGTATTATCGCAGATGTAATTGTGACATCATCTTCAGACAATTCATGAGGATGGCCACTATATGTAAACTAAGTTCAAGATTTACTTTAGTTTTGTATTTCTCATGGTAACATCATCAAGCTAATTGGCAAATTAAATTGTTATTATTTCAAATTGTAGGGCTAATATTGCTGATATTAATTCAGAAACATGTGAAAAGGATTGTCCTAGATTCGAGGATGTTTCACATAGAATCAATGGTAGCTATGATCACTCTCTAAAATGGCATATAATAAAGACAAGAGATCCCAGAGGGATCTTGGCGCCGACCATTGTACCATCTTCATTAGTTCTTTGTCAGTTTGATCTTTCGCCTTCAAGCCAACCTTCAAAGTGAGTTTGTCATTTCACATATTTACTAATACAGTGCTTAATGTGAAAGACATAGAATCAATCGTTGCAATATGAGAAAGATCTGTTTAGTTCTTCCTTTAGCCATTTTGTTTTTATGATCAGTTTCAAAATATATATTTCCACAGCATTTAACACAATGCTTCAGCACATTTAAATTACATATAACATGACAATGTTTGTAATATGTAAAACAGAATAAAACATCATATTTTTGATTCTTCAACCCTAGTTAAAACCTGACATGATCCACTCCATTCAGGTCTTCCTGAAAAGAAATACACAAAACTTGCACCTCAAAGAAGACACCCTGGCAGTCTTTATATAGAAAATCATCGCATTTTCTTAACGAACAGTTTGATTCAAATCGAAGTAATGACAACTGAAAAATGTACTGCCCCCCAGTTAATGTAGAAGGGACTATAATTTCTTTTATTCATTAATTTCTTGACAGTTGCCCAAACTATTTTTGTTGGGCCAGTGACTACCTCACTTTTGACAACTTTTGGTCACTCGAGCAAGACTTTAACCGCCATTGGCGAGCAGGCGATCGTTTATTTCAGGCACTGTTGCACAACAAGGGAACAAGGGGAACCTACGTATAAAATTTGAGAAAGATCCCTCTGGTACTTCCCGAGAAATAGCGATAACAAACTTTCACTATCAAAATCCAAGATGACTGCCTATCGGCCACGTTGTTTATCCGATCAGTCTCAAAAGTTGCCCTGCACAGCTAAGGACCAAGGGGAACCTACATATAATTTGAGAACGATCCCTTTGAGACTTCTTGAGAAATACCGATAACAAGAATTGTTTAAGGACGGACCACGGACCACGGACAGACGGACCACGGACGCAGGGTGTTTTGAATAGGGTGACTAAAAATCCTGTGGGGAAAATTGAGGAAAATGGTGAAAATATATGATTTTTCAAGAAAATTCTCTGGGTTTTTTCTTCTTCTTGAAGCCCAAAAAAACCTCTGGATCCGCCACTCAATGATATAGTTAAATTACTTGTACATTTAAGATATCTTTTTCCTTTGACTTTTCCCATATCATGGATACCATATAATGTTAAACTTTGTATGCACAAATAAATCTTGCTGATATTAACAGATGTCTAAGAATGAAGATCAGTCTCTTTTATTTCAGTTTAACAAATCTCTTTCTCAAAGAAAGATACATGGAAAATTAAATTAACAGATAACTTTGTGTTATAAATTAAATAAACAGTTTTAGTAGTTACTTACTGTCCATGGACTAAACCATTCAGAAATGTTCCAGTGTAACACGCATCTTTGTAAATGCTGTGCTTAGCAAATGTGTGAGTTGCCTGCCTGACACCAGGAGGCGCCATGCGTTCCATACTTCCACGCCTCGTCACCAACTTCTGGCTTGTGATCACTTTGTTAATAGTCGAATTAAGGGCCATAATCCACTCAGTCTACAATATTAGAGTATTCTTCCCTTGAGATGTCACAATTAATTCCTTCGACTAATTAAATGAACATGACATTCGGCTAAAGTATTATTCTGTGAGCAAATAATAAAATATTATCACTTTGTTTTTTACAAGGTATAAGAGTTCAACATATAGCATTTTCTCTAATTCTATGCTTATTTCACAACTGCCTAGGGTAAGAAAGGGGTGTAAGAAATTCACCCTTTCACCCCATTTTACACCCCTGATGTCACAGTGGAACAAGAATGATACGACATCACAAAATTGGCAACATTCCAATTTCAGGATGCAATGCTTTTTCATGCTTTCTGAGTTAAACCCTAGAAATTGGAATAAGAGAAAAAAAACTTTTATGTCCAGGGATATAGAAAAGGGATATCCAACATAACTTTATTGTAATTTGGAAGAAATCTAACCGTTTGAAGAACAGTTATTGCAAGGAAACCGATTAACCATTTGGAATTAAGTTTTAGTTATCAATTATGCAATCAATATGCATACATCACATTTGCGATCCAATTCCGTCTTTGCGTATTGCAGAGTTATCTTCTCGATCTTGTGAGCAGGTTTGTGTGAGAAAATTGCGTTGTTTTCTCAAAAATTGATGACGTTACTCTCACAAACCAATGACGTAACAATCAATACCTGCTCACAAGAGAAGATAACTCTGCAATATGCAAAGACGGAATAGGTATGGCTAGTGTTGGACATAGTTACCTTGACGGCAGTGGATGGAGCTAGGAGAAACAGTTTATCCTCCGGAGCTGTAATGGTAATCTGATGCCTGAAGATGAAAATAAAGAAATATCACAAATGCATTAATCACCATTGTACAATGTAAAGAATTCCAATTTGATCACATTTTAACGAGGTGTATTATAATTCCTACTCATACAAATCTACTCACACTATACCAGGAAACTTTCGCCACATCAAATATTCTCCCTTCACTTGTGAACCCTTTCACCCCTATGTAACTTTAGTAGACTCTACCATGCATTGACCTGGATGAGTCCATTATGGTCTACAGTGGTGGAAGGATTAAACCCATATTGCCACAATGTTGATTTCACCCGTCACATGTCAATGTAATGAACGGTACGTTGTGCACTAATATCACTGTCATGATATATATAAAATGTACCCTCATAACGAAGGTCAAAAAGGCAAAAGTTAAAATACAGCAAAAATATCCAGTATACAGTTTGGCAGCCATCTTGGATTGGAGGCAAGGCTGTCTTTTGTTTTCATATATATATAATACTTAATTCATTATATACTCAGAAGAACAAACATTTATTGGAGACCAATGAAAAGCCATGTGCCTTCAATTTTGCTATGATATATTTCAGGGATGTAGAAAGCGAAAATGAGTATAAACCTCTAAGTATTAAGTCAATCTTACTAATGTAACCTCTGAGTATTGAGTCAATCTTACTTATGTAACCTCTGAGTATTTAGTCAATCTTTCTAATGTAACCTCTGAGTATTGAGTCAATCTTACTAATGTTACCTCTGAGTATTGAGTCAATCTTACTAATGTATGTGTGTTTAAAGAAGAATGTACCAGTGTGTTTTCAGATACAGAATTTGAGTCCTGGACTCAAGACTTCTTTGTGGGACTCTAACTTTTTGAGAACCCACTATATCTCTTAGACATGGTACTATATAACAATTTTGAAAACAACATTCAAGACTCAGATTTATCCTGAGTTGGTGAACTTACTGCTTCTTGTCACTGTCAGAAGATGGCGTCTCCACCCACAGTGTCTCTAACTTGAACACCTGGTAGCTTGAATACTGAAAAGCAGAAGTAAGCACACTAATTATGTGGGCAAGCCATGTTCTAAAACTGGATTATTGTTTTGGAAGAAAGAGCACAACAAATAATCATCAATGAAGAATGACCAATGACCAAAGTGGTCTACAGACAGGAACATGACCCCTTTCACCCCTATGTAACTTTAGTAGACTCTACCATGTATTGATCTGGATGAGTCCATTATGGACATCTACAGTGGTGAAAGGGTTAAACATGATTGAATCCAGGACAATCCAGGTACTGTATAATGGTTATATTTCGTGGGGGTTTTCATTTTGCTATATTCCCGCTTTAACTAATATCCGCGAATTCTAAACACCAGAGAAATTATCAAAAATGTTAACCACTTTTACAGACCTTATCACAACATGTTGAAATTACTAATAACCCAATGCTGTTATGCGAGCTCAAATGAACTCAAATCAGATTATTACTGGACAACTGGGCAGTCCATGTTAAAACAACACTTACATTAAAGTGGCCACAACATATCTATGTGTACACAGTAGGTGATTAATTGATTACAGTTTACTCCTACAAAGGTACATACGCATTTGATTTTCTTTAGATTAAAGTCACTAAAGGATGACGACACTCGGAATCAGTGTTTTCAAACGGTTTAAATGATGACACTCAAAATACTTTGCACGACACATGGGAATCGGTGAACAGCGAAATATGTACTGAATACGAAACAGTGAAATATTGACCCCGTGAATTTAAAGTGCTATACAGTAGTAAGATTCTGCAAAAATCTTGTTTCCCAGATTATGTTAGTTAGAGCAAGCTAAACATCAAATCTCATGACTCATGATTTTTTAACTCTTAAAGAAAAAGTGTTTCGAAGGTTTTAACAGCTAATAAGGTTAGGACTAGGTGAGCTCAAATATAACAAGTGGATCTTTTTTATATAATTCATGGATTTAAATCTGTTCCGAAAACCATCCTGATTATGTGATTCTAGAATTCATGAAATATTTCCTTGATGTATTTAAGAGTTATATAAAGTTTCACTTTATTCACAAACAATGTACATAATAAATGTATTTCAACGTTTCAAGACCGACTAGTCCCTTTGTCAAGCTACGACTGAGCTCACTCATACATATTTCCAAACTGATGAGTGTTATTGAAGGTACCTAAGAGTTGTCTTTCCTTACTAACCAGCACGCCGCACTCACCTGTGAATGTACAAACAAATCGTTGAAGAGGATGAAGTGATTGACAGAGAAGCGACCCGCCCCCTGTAGAGTGAGTGGGTGTGTCTTACTGTCCCGGACCAAACGTCGACTAGGAATCTTCAGGGCATCCTTGTGTAAAACAAAATGTATTGAAATGTATACCTCATACAAGTGTGCAACACTACTGAATGAAATAAATATGCAAGACCACACACTTGTCTTTTTCTAAAGAATCAGAAAGCACGAGTTTATTGCGTGGACGAATATATTCGTTAGAAAAACACAAGTGTGTGGTCTTGCTTTGATCACATACCTTCCGTATTTGGTAAAGATCGATACAAAGATTTTATAAACTTTGATAGTTTTTTAAATACCGGGAACTTTTCAGTTCGCCATGACAAGGGGATTCCCATAAAATGTAATTTCAGACCATGAAATACAACGTTCCGTATTGCACATGTGCAATACAGAACGTTGTATTTCATAGTCTGAAAATTGCTTGATTACTATAACAAGATTCAACAGGTATGTGACAAAAAATAATACCTCGAACGTTATGAACTGATATAATATTTACGGGATTTTAAGGAACTTTGTGTCAGTTTGAATCATCTCTAATAAAGATATCAGTTTTTCATATATTCATTGGTAAGAAAAAATATAATATACAATAAGATAATTAAGAATAAGATATAATAATGTGATTTTATTTAAGTTATCAATGTAGCTATTGTGAAAATCAATGTAGCTATTGTGAAAATCAATGTCAATTTCATGCACCTGTGGAAAATGGGCAAGCAAAATATTGAAGTAGAATTTTGAACAGATAGATATTTTTTACACATTATTTTGATTGGATTAGAAAGTTTTATCACAACTATATGAAGGGGCGTGATTTGTAATTTTAATGAGAGATCATTTGTTACTTACCACGAGTTTCTGTTGATTGATGGTTTCCCAGAATACACCTGTGTTGGCCGCCATGGTCTGTTCTGTGGCTATAAAGTGCTGTAGACTGTTCCACTTGAGAGAGACTTTGTTCAGTGCCTCATACTCCTCAGAACCCTTAAAGAACCGAACAAACAAATAAAACAAAACAAAATTCTACAATAGTGTGTTCAAAACATCGGTACTTTTACATCAAAAAACTTGTGATTTCTATTGAAATAACGTTATTTATTTTACAACAATAATGAAACAAATTATCTCAACTGATATCAATCATTCTTGTTGGTCTGGGTGTTAGCGCGTGGGGGGTCTTATTGTGGGAGAAAACCAGAGTACCTGATTATCTCAACTGATATTAATCATTCTTGTTGGTCTGGGTGTTAATGCGTGGGGGTTCTAATTGTGGGAGAAAACCGGAGTACCCGGAGAAAACCGACGTAGTCGGGTAGATGACCCCATACCTTTTCACGTCGGATCGGGGAAACGAATCCCGGCCGCCTTAGTGAAAGGCAATTGCGCTATCCAATGCAGCACCCAACCCAGTATGATTAATACTTCTTTTGACAATTATTCCGTCTTTTCCTATTGCAGAGTTATCTGCTCTTGTGAGCAGGTATTGATTGTTACGTCATTTATTTGTGAGAGTAACATCATCAATTTTTGAGGAAATGACGTAATTTTCTCACACAAACCAATGACGTAACAATCAATACCTGTTCACAAGAGAAGATAACTCTGCAATACGCAAAGACGGAATAATACAAATGGCTTATTATAGAGGAATTTAGTGAAAATAACAATAACTTGATGCATCTTAACATTGTTTTCTTTTTCATCTTTTTGAAATTATTCAAATGTAACATATTATAACAAGCAGTTTGTCAGACATTCAAAATTATCCTTATTTTCTCTTTTGAATTAATACACAAAGATGTATTTATGTAATTCATTAATTCAGCTTTTAAGTTATTAAGCCATCAGGTAATTTGCTCAAATCCTGATGACAACGCTGGTTAACAAGTCTTTTGGTAAGGGCCTCTTTCACATAGGAGGTAAAATCAGAGTAAGATAGCATACACCCTTAACCCATTCGCCCCTATGTAACTTTAGTAGACTCTACCACACATTGATCTGGATGAGTCCATTATGGTCTACAGTGGTGAAAGGGTGAACACTTACACTTTCATAGTTGCCTGCAAGTTTGTCTGCCAATCTGCTGTACTCCTTTACGTGCTGGAGTGGAGCGGCCATTAGTTTTTGGAATGTGTTCCCAAACTGGGCTTTTTCGACTTTCTTTTCCTCCAAAATTAGTGTAAAAACCTTTGCTATACCTTCAAAGTAGGCACTGACAAATTAAGGAGAAGAGGAATTAGATATACTTTCAAGGTCATCAGGAGCACAGGCAGCCATTTCATCAGTGTTTAAAACTGCAAGTACGCTAGCTATACCTTTGATGTATTGGTAAGGGACACAACCTACAGGTGAACATACAAACTTGTTCTTTTGCCTTTCTTTTAATACTAAAAACATTTATCACATAATGTACTGTGTTATCCAGTGAATTTACCCATGCCATATTTTTTGGCGTATTAACCCATGTTATAGGACCTTTCAGCCCTGTGATTGGTTGAAAGTTTCAATTGTTTCAATTGTGACGTCACACCTAGGACAAGATTATTACGTCATAGACTTGGGCACTGGAGTCAAAACGGCAGCCTTTTTACATTTCAAGGTTGCATGAAAATTGTTGTTTTACACGAATGAATGCCACAAATCTTGATTATGTGATAAAAAAGATCTTACACTCGTTTTCATTTCATATGAAATTTATGAAACTCATCAAAAAGTTTTCATTTTAGCGAGCCTTAATGGAAACTCAAGTATGATCCTATATATATTATTATCTTTAAAAATTCTTCATGTTAGATGATATATACAATTATCTCTATGATAAATCAAAAGACACAAAAAAGTGCGAAAGGTAAATAAACGAAGATTTTAAAACAGTTCACCAACATGTAAGAAAATCAAAGATATTTTTTCTTACCTGCCCATTTTTCCACAGTACTCAAAGCCACTGATGCCAAGCATGTCCCCAAAAGCAATCATGTACCGTTTTATGTAATCTGCCAAGTTGCCATAGTTACTAAAGAACGATGCCTTCAGTACATTTTCACCATCCCCGACCATCCGGTTCATTTCCACATAGCATCGCCCCACCTAGGATAATATTTCAATTTTTTTTAGGTGAAGAGACAAAAACTATATTTCAAGCTGAAACATTTTGCCATTATAATGACTTTAGAAATATCTTTTATAATTAAAATATGTATATTAATGTACTTAATTAAATAGATTCAATCACAACAGGCGAAGGAGCAATAAGTAATTCTTGTAGTTTATTAGAAGTGTCGACCGGTTTCGCCCCTACAGTAGGCTTCTTCAGGACAAAATTATAGGATATTTCTACCTCTGAAATACTAAAAATGTGGGCACATAATATTGTTCTACATATATATATATGTATAGTGACATCATTAACAATGGCAGAGGTTGTGACGTCATAAACAATAGGTAGTATTGTGACGTCATCAATAGTTAGTACAAGATAAGTATTGTGACGTCATCAATAGTTAGTACAAGATAGATAACTCTGTTAAGCCAATATCAATACATATCTAAAAGGACATCAATGTAAATGTTGTCTAGCGGGACATAATAATAGTTAGAGAATGCAAACTCTTTACATACTGAATAGTCCATTGTTAGGTTGTAGTGCAGAGTTTCATCTAGCTGGTAGATATACGGGTCTTATAATAACGGATTTTAATAATCATTGTAAAGCTAGGTTGAAGTCATCTAGAATGATGGAATTAACCCACTATAGACTGAACAATATAAAGAGATAATAAAAAAATAAAAAAAGATTTTGAGTCCAAGGCCTAGATGAAGGAAAGGTCCTCTTTGTACTTAAAATACAATCTCTTTAATAAATGTGAAGTTTAATTTACCAGACAATTTATAATCTTAGGAATGAACTGCCACAAAAGTCCCTGTAGCTGTGATTGTTAATTCTGAAATTAGCACTATATATTATATAAGAACCTCAAATTATTATTATCATTATAAAAACTGCATAATTACCACAGTCATAGTTGCTTGAACATCACTCAATATATTCGGCAAGTTTCTTTTGGTTTTTTTAATGTTTTTATTATCTTTCTGCACCTTATATATAATATACATTTGCCATAATTACCCGGTAAGTGCATACATTGTATTTTAATACAAGTTCAGTTGTTTTTGCCAATCAGAGCAATCCTGTGTGAATGTGTTTTCTTGGGTTTCCTCGAGTTCCTGACTGAAATGGATACAACACCTCCAGAGAAGCAGGAACTGTATCCTTGAGAAACGAGCTAAGTATTTTATGTTAGTTGTGTCTGTATATTATATTAATTGTAATAAGTAATAACGACAGTATGATCCAATTTAATATACTAAAATTATATTAATGGTATATGTGTTTTATATAAATTGTATATGTTTATGTATTTCATATTAATTGTATATGTGTTTTATATAAATTGTATATGTTTATGTATTTCATATTAATTGTATATGTGTTTTATATAAGTTGTATATGTTTATGTGTTTTCATAATAGTTGTTTCTTGTCTTTTTGTAATGTAATTATTATTGTTCTGTGTTTTTTCTGTGTCTGGATAAAAGAGCGAAAGGTTCTGAAAATTTGGCAACCTCATATTGTCTACACTGTTAGAATCTTTGCCCATATACTAATTGTATATATGCATTGTATATTCATTGTATTCCGTTATCTTCTCTTGTGAACAGGTATTGATTGTTATGTCATTGGTTTGTGTTAGAAAATTACGTCGTTTTCTCAAAAATTGATGACGTTACTCTCACAAACCAATGACGTAACAATCAATACTTGCTCACAAGAGAAGATAACTCTGCAATACGAAAAGACAGAATACCTGTTTTAAGGATACTCTGCTAATATCATCATCACTTATCGAGATCCTATAACATATCATTATGTATATGTGGTTTAGTTTTAATATGTTCTTTACATTAATTTGTTAAGTGCTCTAGAGCTGCTAGCTTCAGTAGGATATGTCACACTATATAAATGGCTATTATCATTATTATTGTTAAAAAATATCAAATCTGATTGAAACAAGAATACCGCGGGGCGGAACAATATACGCCCGTCGAATGCCAAATAGTGTTATATACTTTCTTACATTAAAATAGGATCTGCATCATTCTAAGAGTGGTTAGCTGACATGCTATAAAAAATGTAGGAGAAAATCTCCGAACAATCATCAAACACTGAAATGAACAAAGGGCAATAACTTTTGCAAAAATCGTTGAATCGAAATTCTTTTAAGGGAGACACAACTTTATATCATGATTATAATGTCTATCAAGTTTCAAAGAGATCCATAGAAAAATGTAGGAGGAGATTGCCTGACAAATATCAAACACTGAAATGAACAAAGGGCAATAACTTTTGGAAAAATTGTTAAATCAAAATTCTTTTAAGGGAGACACAACTTCATATCATGATTATAATGAATACCAAGTTTCAAATAGATCGGTCGAAAAATGTAGGAGGAGATTGCCGGACAAACAAAAGTTAACGCCGGACGGACGACGCCATACCATAATACTCCCGTCAAATTTGACAGGCGTATAAAAAACATGAGTAGTGTTAAATACCTGTTCATAGACTTTAGTGAAGGAGGAGAGCAGGTTCTGTAGTGTTGACTTATAAGGATAGACGTCCAGTGAGGTGTAGAAGGCTGAAATAATTACACATGTATATACTTCATACAACACCCAACAAATCGTGTCATTGGATATTACAAAAGGCTCAGGATCGGAACTAACTATATATGCTAGGTTTAATGACAGGTGCTCACTTCAAACAGCAGTTGAATGCTTCAAAAGGTGATCAGTGAGTTAAATTGGAAGGCATGATAGACACATTATAAAAGGTTTGACAAATGTCCATAAATCTTTTTTATAAAAAATTGCAAAAATACGGTATTCACAAACATTTAGCTGTTTATATAATTACAGTATCCTGTGTTACATATGATGACACTGACGGTGAAATCACTTACGGTGACGCTGAAGGGTGTTCACTACAAGTTTTCGTATCCGTGTCAAATGATGGAAGAATCTACGCTCTTGTGATATCAGTTCAAAAACAGAACCTATGTGTCCAGAAAAACTCCAACAGGAAAGACAGGCACAGTTGTCTCCCCCTGCAGATAAAGCTCGAATCCATCCCGCCTTTCATTGAGAAAAAAAATATCATTTAAGAAAGGCAATGAACATTTTGGAATAAAAAAAATAGCCTATCTAAAGGTATCTCTAACAGGAATTTAAAGATTGTTTTGACTTGTTCTATTATTATAATATAATGAGTATGTAGCTGTTTTGATAATTTTGAAAATGAATGCAGATGCTGCCTTATATCTTCTTTATTCTAAAATATTGCAAAACTTCTCAAGCATTTCCCTTAATCTGAATATAATAGTTTTACTAACATAACAAAATGTATTTCTAAGATAATTCTATCACCTAAAGCACAAACTTATGCACAGCATGAAATTCTTTTTATTTCTATAAATTTATAGCTCACCGTTCTTATTTTCTTATTTGGTATTTATCACTTATTACCTGTTTGAGAAAACTGAGTGCAACCAGCCTCTCTGTTTTGTATATAGGCACATACACTTCCTGGCTGTAATGAAACAATATCATTATATATGAAGAATGTACTATAACAGCTACTGAACTCTTGATCTATCTGCAATCTGGGCCCGTATTCATGAAACCGTTCTCCTGCTCAAGTATGGAATTTGTGGTCAAGCCTAATTTCTTGTTCTGGTTATAACTTGAAATAAAAATTTATTTTTACGATGGTTTGGAAAAACTTAAAGTCGCATACTGTTTTCAATTATTTCATTTGACGTTCTTATGGTTTGACATGATTTTAAGTGAGTTACAAGAATGTTGGTTTGAGCACGAAACCCATGCTTGAGCATGAGAACGGTTTCATGAATACGGGCCCTGTTCTCACTGTAAACACTGAAAACAGTATTCCAGCCTTGTTCTCTCCAAAATTCTTCCACGTCATTGACACAACCCCAATATATATTTTTTTAGGACACTGTACCCTGTAATTTATTACCTGAGCAAGAAATTGTGCTTGAGCACAAAATCAGAGTTTGACTATGAGAAAGGTTTTATGAATTCAGGGTACCTTCAGGGTATTCAGGGTACCTTAATTTCCATCGTGAATAGTTGAGATTCATGAATCCAGCCATCATACTGACGTCCCTCTGTCCAATATTTTAGACAGTAAACTGACTCATTTACTGTTTAGAGGACAGGTTGGCCTTATTCAATATATACAAAGATTGTTCCGATATTCAGTTGTGTGACACAACCGTGCCACTTTGGAAAAAAGGTATTTTTTCACTTCAAATTTCTCGGTATAAAATTTACACAATTACTCAGAATTTTTTATTTAAATTTAGGATTGCATAATCAAAATAGTATAACGACTGTTCTACCAGAAAAATCTGACCTACAGATCATGTTTCAGAGCAATTAAAAATATCAACCTCGTGTTATTGAAATTTGTTTTCACACAGCAATCAATTTATTCCAGACTGACACCATCGAATGACATTTTTCAGCTTAATTTTGCTTTTCATTTTCCTGTGAAGCAACACACACTATATCATGTGCGAACGTTTTATACAAAGATCTATGGCAAGTATGTTAATTTCTTAGCTTATGATACCAATATAATGTGTGCAGGCCACTGGGCTCTTAACATAATATTAATACATGTATTTAAAACGTACCATCATCTGGCATTGTCACTTTATAACTCTACCACATTCAGATGGCATTCATACATGCTATGAGTGCCATGAGCCAATTTCTGAGGTCATCATTATTATGACATCAAAACTTATGATATATATCAAATTGTAACGATAATTGTTATATGATGGATATCACTGACCTTCCATGGACAGATGGCTGTTCTATTCATTGAACCATCATATACAATAAATACATTTTTTTAAACTAAATGCAGAAAAATAATACCAGGTAAGTGTGCTTAAATTTTCTATGAGATAAACAGATTCCAAAAATGGTAACATCAGTATTGAAACTGATTTCAGTTGGCATTCATAGGCAATATGAATGCCAACTGAAATAAGTTTCAATACTTATGTTACCATTTTTGGAATCTGTTTATCTTATAAAAATGAGACAAGAGGCCCAAGGGCCTTAGCGGTCACCTGAGTTATATCATAGGTACTGGTAGCTTTATTCTATTGTTTAGATGTGATGTGGAAATCAGGTGGCAGAGTACAGTAGAAATGGCTTGACCCTAAAAATAAAGGGCATGTCTCGGATAAACATGGATAGCGGATTCATCCTGCACAACACACCTACATATATATATATATATTTATAAACTACATTTTGAATAGGTGTTTTTTAGAAGAACATTTTTTTTTTCAAAAAGTGATTTCCCCAGATTTGGGACTTCTGAAAACCATGGTTACCACATCAAAAAACACCAAAATATGCAAAAAATCATGATTTTTAACCCAGAATTTGACCCCCGCAAGTAGAATTGTTTTTCTTAAAACCTGTCTGAAATTAAATATCGCCTACTCGGTAACAGAAATACTCACGTTTTAGCATAGGTCATTCCGGTGGATTTTTCACAATATTTACACATGTGCTGAGTACAAAAATAGACTACATGAAAAGCTAGCTTTTGTTGTGTAGACACAGATTCGTAAATGCCCAAAATTGTAGTCTCAAACCAAATTCGACTTTTCTTTTTTTTAAATTATGAAGCCCACATAGTCCACTTCATCATGTATATGCCAATTTTAGTGCTGATTTTTTTTTTAAATTTTGATACATGTTATATTACAGGGGTTATTCATTGTATAAAAATATCACCCATGGCCACCGTACGCTACTGTACTCTGCTACCTTATACATCCCTTTTTTTCCCCAAAAATTCAATCAAAACCTTTTAAATGTCTGGAAAATGACACAATGAACAAAAAGATGTATCCGTTTCCTTTCTCACTTTAAAAGTGACCGAGTAATATGAATTCTCCTGCTAGGTGATTTTTTACCAATTCTGCTCTCAAACTACCAACAAAGGGAGGTAATCTGAAAAATTAAAACTTGAATAACTTTGTAGTTTTCAGGAATAATTTTTTTTTT